TTTTTTTTTATTTTTTACAGCCATTGCCAGAGAACAAACATTGACAGATAGATCCGTGTTGTCATATCCCACTATCCTCTGCTTCTACATTCATGCAGACTAATAAACTCCCCTTCTCTTCAAGAAGCAAATGAGATCACAGTACTGTACTTGGTCCCTGGAGTGACCGGGGTTTGAAACCATTTCTTCTTATTTTAGAATATTAAAATAGAAGTCTCTACTCCATTTGCTACTAGCAATAGCATGACATTCTGAACCACCTTGACGCTAGGAAAAATACACACAAAACAGTTTGAATTCTATTTGATAGTATTTCATCTTCAGTATAAAATAGTGCACCATGGATTATATTGTTGACGTTATTTTTTTAAAGGAAGAAAGCAAATATATTGTGGCATAAAGTGCACGGCTATGTTTTAAGAGTCTAACCTGCCAGATCAGCTTCCCTGAAGTGGCTGCTTTTTAATTTTCTATAACCTTTCTCAGGTCAAATATCCCAGGAAGAGAGAATAGAACCATTTCCACAGACAGCAGTGGGTGAGATGAAGCAATAGCTTCACTATTTTAGTCCCCTGCCCATAACCTGGAAAAGCGGACCTCCATGCATAATCATGTTGGCTGTATAAGAAGAATAAAGAGAATTATGATCTTTAAAAATATTATTCAATGATCAAACATGATTCAGATTTGCATTAGTTGCCCAGTAACACATATGGAAATTGGGGTTCAAATGCAAAATACCTACTGCATTTGAAATAATAGTTTAACATCTCTACTGAGTTTTCCAATTTGAATAGTAGTATTAGTATATATTACCATGTAAATCAGTGTGAAAGTCTCAGATTACGTAACTTGCCCAAAGAATCACAATCAGTGCAATACCTACAATTTGAAACCCTCTTCTGGTTTATATTCCCATGATTTCTTTTAATAGGTAAAACACTTAACTCAAAACAATAATAGCATATCCATAAAAATACTACAGACCTAGCTAAATGACATGACAATTATTTTAAATGTCTTGATATTTATGTGTTTTAGTATAGTTTACAAAAGGGATAGGCATGTGAAAGATAACAGAATATAACATTTTAATTTAATTTAGTAGGGGGATAGTATCTGGAGTCCTGAAACTTTGGTCTAGGAAAAGCTCCGGATCAAATCGCATTTTTGGAATTTTCCTTATTTAACACCCTCTATGAGTGAAAAGCACACTAATTCTGTATATGATTTAAATTTTGGAGGTCTCATTTATTAACTTTAGTTAACTTGATCTGGTGGAACATGCAGATATATTGTCATACAACAGAATACTTATCCAAAAATTTTAACAGATTCATTCACCTACCACTAGGTAGGAAAAAAAATAAAATCTTTAAACTAAAACAAAATGTAAAAAAAAAAAACTCAGGAAAATTTAATCAGGTATGTAATCGTGAATTAAGAGAACTTGACACCATATTTCTGAGGGGCTTCGTATTTGCATTACTTGCCCAGTAATACATTGTAGTTAAGTATATGTAATGAGACCTTACATTTGTGAGACACAGATTTCAAATTTCTCCAGTGGTTTGTCTTTCAAGCCTTATTTATATTTGAAGCACTTATTGATATTAAATATTAACCTATCGGTTTTTCCTGCCAAACCTGAGCTTATAATTCATTTAAATGAAAATCAATGTATGCTGTATATTCCTTTGCTGTCTTTCAGAAATCAGTAATTATATGTGAGGATATCGTTTTTAGTTTTAGTATTTTTAAATATCCAGGAGACTAGAACCTTTAAGTGTAATAGATTGTGTGGTCTCAATTTCATATTCTTTGGTGGATTTGTTAAAAGGCTCTAGATATTACTAGGTTCAGGTGCTTTCGGAGAATCTCATAGATGCTATCTTGGGAGAATAGTAGCTCTGAGTAGCCACAGTGAGCAGTTGGTGGAGAAAGCATTAATAGAAATGAATGGGATCTCCCAAGAAAAAGAAGTATTATAGAATACCAGGAGATCCTGCATTGTCATAGTGTCCTGGGAAGA